GGAGCAGCCTGCGCGTCGCCCCAGCGCCCGCGCCGCTGGCGGGGCGGCCCCCGCGGGTGATCCAGGCCAGGCGCGCGCCATCCAGCCCGTCTCAGACCGTGACCCTCTCGGTCTCAAGCTGGGCGCGGAAGCGCTGCCCCGTCCGGACCTCCGCAACCGGCCCTGCCGCCGAGCCGGGCGGGAGGTCGGGCCAGACTCGCTCTCCTGCCTCGTCGCCTGCGCGTGCCAGCGCGCGGGGCGAGCTCCGGCGTAGTCCCTGGCCATTCGGCAATGGCCCGCCCGCGCGGCAGGCGCGACACCGCTGCGCTGCTGTGAAACGGTTCCCCTGATGGAGAGAGCGAAGCCGAGGCGGTGCTGGTCCGTCCCTGCGTTCCCTGGCTGGTCAGGGCCGCCTTCCCAGACATCCGACGTCTCGATTTTTTCGAGACGCGGGCCCCCGACCTCCCGACCACTTCGTTTTTTGACGGTCCCGAGGCCCGGCGAGGACCCCGAGAGGTCGAAAACTATGAAAAACCTCCGTTTCGATTTTTTCGAGACGCCCGATGTCTGGGTTCCAGGTTACAGGGGCGGGGCGGGCGCGGCTGCCCCTCCCCCCTCGCAGCCTCCGCCCTCGCCTCGCCGCTCCGGTCGGGCCGGGCGCTGCGCCGCTCTCTGCGGCTGCCTGCTCGACAGGGGGGGGGAGTGGCCTCGCCCTTGGCTGAGGAGGAGGAGGAGGAGGAGGAGGAGGAGGAGGAGGAGGAGGAGGAGGAGGAGGAGGAGGAGGAGCGCCACCAGACTCCCCGTCGGCGGGGTCGTCCAGGTGGACGGTCCTGACGCGCTGCGTCGGTCCCGCTGGGGGGGCGGCGTAAGCACCTCCAAGGAGCGGGTGACCGCGGCCCTCGGCGGCGCCACCCGTCGCTTGCTCCTTGGGCTGACCCGCGGCTGCCGCCTGTGGGGCCTCTGCCGCTTCCGTGGCTGTGGTTAGGGGGCCAGATGCGAACCCTACCCCTACCCCCCACGATTTCTGAGGGGGAGGGTGGGGTTCACTTTGCTCGGGAGCCCCCGAACGAAGTAAACCCCACCCTCCCCCTCAGAAATCGTGGGGGGTAGGGGTAGGGTTCGCATCTGGCCCCCTAGTGGTCGGTCGGCGGTAGTAGCCGAGCAAGGGGACGCTCGTGCGAATGTCTTGGTTCGCCAGGACTGATGCCAGGACATCCCCGTGCACGCAAAGTCGCGCTGGCGATGTGGCGCCATGGCGCGCGCGAGTGCGAGGTGTACACAGGCGCTGTGGTGTACACAGGCGCTATGGTGCACGCAGGCGTCGGAAGCAGGATAACATGCACAACCAAAAAAACGCGTACGATCGCAAAAATGGTTCAGCTATGATCCCCCACACCGGCCAACTGATCCCTGTTTGCCGTATTGCGCGACATCGCCTTACAACCAAACACGGCGAGGTCGTGCAGAACTGAGGGGAGAGTGGCACGCGCGGTTCAGAGGTTCGCTTTCCTCTTCCTCATGCTCCTGTTCCTGCTGCTGCTCCTGCTCCTCCTCCTCCTCCTCCTCCTCCTCCTCCCTCCTGCTCCTCCTCCTCGTCCTCCTCCTTCTCCTCCTCCTCCTCCCTCCTCCTCCTCCCCCTCCTCTTCCCGCCCTCTCTTCCTCTTTCCCAAGACATCTGGTTATTCGATGTTTTCGAAGCACGGTTCGACAACGTCAACGATTTCAATGGTTCATTCAAACTTGTGCGCGACGCTCCCGGGGCGTGGACAAAAAACCTGGCGGCCGAAAACGACGAATCTCAAGGCCCAAGAGTTCTTGAGACCGACATCCTCGCCATCGTTCGGACGTTATTTTTTTGTTTTTTGTTCGATTTCGTGCGTGTTTTGTTCGCCAAGTGGTCAAGGATGTTCCTCGATGTCTGGCCCTCGCCGAAAGAAAAATGCACACGTCCGAGCGATGCCAAGCATCCGTAATCATTGGAACCAATGTCCGTAATTATTGACAACAATATCCGTAGTTTGTGAGAATTCCATTTTTAAATCTACGTCTGAGTATTGAATCCGGCGCGACCAGGTCGGCGTTCGTCGCCGAAGTCGTCGGCTGCCGCCTGCCTTCCTCTCTGACCTCGAGGGTGCCCCCTCGGGGTGCGCGCGTGGCCAACCTAGAATTCTAGAGCTCTGGAACCTCGCCGTGAGTCCCCCCCTCCTGCACAGGCGCAGTGGGCCCCTCGTGGACGCGACAGCATCCCGAGCGAGGACACGCCCGCAGCTGGTGCATCGCCCAGGCTGGAAGGTCCACCCTCTCGCCCCAGCACGGAGACCTGGTGAGATCCCCCACGGGGAGCCAATACCTTTCCGAAGCAGCGAAGCTGTTGTGGCGGAGCTCGAGCGCCGTCAGCCTCACAGAAGGACGCCACCACTCTTCACAGAGATCGAAGCGCGACCACAATCAGGGGTACTGTTTCTGCTGCCTTTCCTCTGGACTCATACACACGTGGCTCGTTCCCAGAACCTTGAGTCACCGAAGATACCTCCTCTCGGAATGCCAGCTGCCAGCTGCCGCCCACCTTCCGCCGTCGCAGCCGCCCTCGCCCTGCTCCCGCAACTTCCGCGCCGAGGAAGACACGCGAAACTCCCCGATGCCTCGACAGCGAGGCCCCCTCGGAGGAACCGGAGGAGCAACGTGAGCCGCCATCGCTGCTCCCCAGACCTCTCCTGGGGTGCTTCTGGCCTTTTGGTCGCGGCCGCAGGCGAGAGCGCAAGCGGCGAGTCGTAAAGTCCGGGGAGCGGGCCTACTAATTGACAGCCGAGGAGGACACGCGAAGCTTCCCGATGCCTCGACAGCCAGGCCCACCCTGGAACCGGAGGAACCACGCTGGCCATCGCTCAGACGTCCATTCCTTGTGCTTCGTTCGGTTTCGTGCGTGGCTTTTCGCCAGATGATCAAGGATGCTCCTCGATGGTCCTCGCCGAAGGAAAAGTGCACACGTCCGAGCGATGCCAGGAACAACCTGAACCGCCATGGCTGCTCCCCAGACCTCTCCTGGGGTGCCTCTAGCCAGGACTTCGAGGCGAATCCAGCCGCGGCGACGAGGCACGGGTAGGAGATTGCACCTCTTCTCGGCGGCGAGCGAGGGGGGAAGTGAGGAGGAGGAGGCCTTCCCAGAAGGCGGCGGGACTGCTGAGAAGCGATATGTGTTGTCGGTCTTCGGGGACGGCTTGGAGGACTTCTCGAAGGCTGGAGGACTTCCGAGCCTTCCGAGAAGGCCCGCCCCAGCCACTTCCCCGCCCCCAGGCTCGCCGACGATCCTGGTGGAGCTGCGCACCAGCAGCACAGATGGAGGACTTCCGAGCCTTCTGAGAAGGCCCGCCCCCTCTAGCTTCCTCCCCCGGTCGGGGGTTGCTAAAGGTGCCCTTGGCTCAAGGTATTTTCAGCTTTTCGCTCGACTTTGAAGTCCTGGGGCCCTCTGGGCCTCGTGAGGGGTGCTCTGGAGGCCGTAGGGGGCCTCCCTGGAAAGCCTGGGAGCACCGTGGGCCAGGGGTACTTCTAGCAACACCCCACCCAGGCTGGCCGGACCCCCAAGTACTGAGCCGCTCCTGGCAACCTCGTGGCCCCATTCGAAGCTCGATGGAGCCAGATGTCACCCACCTTGGCATCCGCCGGTGCCCCTCCCTGCCCCTCAGCAGGCCCAAGCGTACCACATGCTCCTCCTCCGCCTGCGGATCCCTCGAGGGCGAGGCCCTCGCGGCAGCGCCCCTGCGCGCCGTGCAGCGCAGCGGCCTCCCTCGCCGCGCGGCACGCGGGCGCGCGCCGCGCCCAGGGCGCGCCGGCCAGCTGCAGGGCCCGGGGGGGAGGTCGGCGAGCCCCGGGCTGCCGCGGGGACCGCCGTCGCCACCCAGCCCCTTCCGCGAGGGGGCGAGGGCGCCCCCGTGCAGGGCGAGGCGCTGCCCAGGGCAGCGTGGCGCTGCAGCGCGCCGTGTGGGCCAGCGCGGCGCGCCCGAGCTGCACGGCATCGGGCGCCATGCCGTCTCGCAGCGCCGCACACGACAGCACTGCGCTGGATGGTGCAGCATGCCGCAGAGCACCGTGACACCGCATAGCACGGCTCAGCATGGCACGGCAAGCAGCCTGCACAACACGGCATACGCTTGCAGGGGATAGCACAACGCAGATGCGCTTTCATGACAGAGCGATCAATCGCAGCGCAGCGCACAGCGCTGCTCAGCCTTGGATTTGTTGACATGCATCGCGCAGAATTGTGTCGCTTGGCATAGCGGCTCGTAGCGGAGTGCACACTTCCTGGCAGCACATGGCGTGGCAGAGCACACCATGGCATGGCATAGCGCTGCATGCCACTGTACGGCGGTGCAGAAGACGAGGCCCTGCAGCCACGAGGCGGTGGGGAATCGGTGGGCCCGCGGCCCTCTCTACCGTTGTATCCTTTTTGTTTCTCCTGATGCGGTCCGTCATGATGCGATGGATGTGAATTTCACATGCAGAAGAAAAGGGTAACATGGCCACAAACGTGTCCCTGAGCATGTCGGGCTCTGGCGGGAAGCCGTGGCCACATAGGGAGCGCGGGCGAAGATGGTATTCACAGTTGCTGTATTCACAATTGCGTATGGTTGGGTCCTTCGCCAGGCTAATGTTTCTCCTGTTGCGGTCCTTCATGATGCGATGGTTGTGAATTTGACATGCAGAGGAGAAGGGTAACATGGGGAAATACCAGAAACACCCACAAACAAGGGGAACTAACAATTCGCCAGCCTCACAGGCCAGAGGCGTGCTGACATCTCCCGTAGGAGCTCCAGCGCATTTCTAGCTCGCGCGCGCGGGGCGGCCATGCATGCTGTTCCCATTCGGGCTTCGCGGGGCTCATCCCCACCTGGGTGGGTGGGCTGGTGGGGCTTAGATGCAGTAGCCCAGTGGGGATGGGGATCGGCTGGGTCGGTTAGACGACGCTGAACTCCTCTTCCCCTCACCCTGTTATTTCTCTCTGTCCCTTTCCTCAGGCAGCGGTCCCGTGGCCACAGATGAATATGTTGGCGGGCTTGATGTCGCGGTGCATCATGCGGTTCCTATGCATGTAACACAGGGCGTCGCAGACCTCGGAGGCGGTGCGAAGGATCAGGAGATGGAGAGACAGGAGCTGAAGAGGGGTGGAGAGGACGGCGAAGAGGAGGAGGAGGATGAGGATGAGGATGAGGAGGAGGAGGAGCAGGAGGAGGAGGAGGAGGAGGAGGAGGAGGAGGAGGAGAACCAGGAGGAGGAGGAGGAGGAGGAGGAGGAGGAGGAGGAGGAGGGCAGTCGGACTCGGTACAGTTGGCTATGCATCGGCTGCGTTGCTGGGAGGGCGGGGGTCGACGACGACATTCGCCCAGTGTATCGGGCGGGGCCTGCACATGTGGAGGAAGCACGGGCAGCGGTCGTTTCTGCAGCGGCAGCTCAGGGAATTGCCCCTCAGGGGCCTGGAGACGCTGGCGCGGAGGCGACAGGCCAAAGAACGCTTCCGGTGATGCACCCGTCTTGGGATGTGCAGAGCGTGCCCGACCGAGGATGGTGGCAGAGTTTGTCTTGGGACACGGCTTTGCGAACTGGCATTTCGACTTTCGTTCAGGTTCCTGGTCGGTTTCGTGGAGCGCTGGCGCATGCGAGGCACAAGGCGCTCGAGGTGCTCGAGGCGGCTTGCGTGCAGGGCGAAGCCGCGGCCGAGTGGAAACTGGTGCTGCTGTTCGACTTAGTTTTGCTCGCCCGCCCTCGTGGCGAGGGCCCCACGTGCGCAGAGCTCCTGGAGGAACGGCTGGCCTTGTGGTGGGGCGGGCAGTGGCCGCTCCTGTGGGCCTCTGCTGTGGGCGGGGGCCCGGCGCCGCGAACGCCGAGCCGGAAGTCCACGAACAAGGAGCGAGCGCGCAGAGTCCACACGCTGGCCGCGGCCGGCGAGGAGGCCCGGGCCCTGGCGGCGACGGTGGGCGCCGAGCTCGCGCCACGGACCGGGGCCACGCTCGAGAAGCTCAGGGCGTGCTTCCCCGCCGAGGCGCCCCGCCCCGAGGCCCCGCAGCGAGGGGCGCGGCCCGGGCCACCTTCCGCGGAGCTGAGAGAGCAGGTCGAGCAAGAGGCCGGCAAGCTGCTGCGGCGCCCGCCTCGGCTCACGGCCCCGGGCTTGCTGGGCGCGCGGCTGGAGCACCTCGCGGCCAGCGCCGACAGCGGGGCGACCTTGAGCTTGCTCGCCCGCGCCGCTGCGCGGGTTGCTTTTGGAGAGCTCCCCCCGGAGACGCTGCAAGCTTTGCGGGCGGGGGAGCTGGTGGCGCTTGCCAAAGGCTCCGGCGAGGTCCGGCCTCTGCTGGTGGGCGCCACGCTTCGCCGCCTCGGCCTTCGCGCGCTGGCCCGGGCGCGGAAGACGCAGCTCTGCGACGCAGCTGGCGAGCACCAGTGGAGTGGGCCGCAAGGGAGGCGCAGCCCTGCTGGTGAAGCACTTGCAGGCTCTGGCTGAGCGCCGGCCGGACGCGACGTTCATCAAGGTGGATGTCAAGTCCGCCTTCCAGCGGATGGAGCGCCAGCCTGCCCTGGAGGCCATGGAGGCCGAGGTCCCCGAGGTGGCCGCTGCGCTGCGGGCGTGGTACACGGGGCCGGCCACGCACCTGTGGCGGGGGGCGGACGGGCGCTACGAGACAGTGCTGGGCCAGCGCGGGTTCGACCAAGGGGACCCCTTGTCCCCGGCTGGCTTCGCGGTCGGTCAGCGGGGTGCCCTGGAGCAGCTCCTGGGCGAACTGCAGCAGCTGGACGCGGAGGCTCGGCTCTTCTCGTATCTTGACGA